CAATTTGGATTGGGGGGGGACAGGCTGCACTGAGAGAGGTGACCTGCTTCTTCCCGCTGTCAGGTCCTGACTCAGAGTGACCACTCTGGTCCCTCAAAGCAAGAACCCCCATCCTTGATCCCATCCCCTGCTTCACATATCGTGAGCTTTCTCTTTCTGTACCTCCCCTCCTACCTCCTTCAGTGAGTGTGAGCTCCGTGGGGGCAGGCCCCTTGTTCTGAACAGTGCCTGGTGCCTGATTGGTGAAGGGATGACTTGAGGAGTCCGCCAGGAGGTGAGGGCAGTGGACAGGGGAACCGCAGACGTGGAGGCTCCAAGGTAGGAAAGAGCCTGGTGTTCAGGGTCAGGCATCAGGCGCATGTGACGAGCACAGGCGTGGACGAGGGGTGACGCAGGGGATGGGAGCGGGGTGGACTGTGCGGTATCACAGGACCCAGAGGCCTCTGAAGTCGAGGAGGAGGAGGAGAAACACAGCGAAGGTTTTAGACGGGAATGACAGGAGCAGATGTTCACATTAAGCCATGATCTTGGCCGCCTTGAGAGAAGCAAGGCAGGGACTGGGGGGGAGCGGGTGCCAGGTCACGGGCTCCTGCAGGGGTCTAGGCTCTGGGTGCTGGTGGCTTAGGTTAGTAGGGTAGGCATAGTGGACTGAGACTTCCCCAAAGAGCAGGGGATTGTCTAGAGGCCCGTGAAGCAGTCCACTCTCATTTTTCCCTAAGAAATGCTGCCAGGGGAGATTCCAAGAGAGATCAACCTTCCCCAAATGTATTTTCTTTGTTGTCTCCGGACCATGGGGGCCCAAGAAGTCAAAACCCAAGGGCCCAGAGGTAGTGGCGCACAACAGAATTCCATCGTCACCTCGCAGGGCTGAAGACCCCCTCTCTGACCCCAGTCCTTACCCTTTCTTTACTCCCTGCTGCCTCCTATTGATGTGGGGACAGAGGGAGGAGAGAAGATTGGATGTGGCTCCTTCCCCGCAGGATCCCAGGCCCGGGATCAGCTCTGGAATCCAGCTCCTACTCACTGGCTTCTCTTTGTTGCTGTGGGCCCCGGTGTTGTCCTTCCTTCTCCAGCTAAGCCAACGCTCTGAACAGCTTTGGGTGCTGAGGAGGGAAGACGGCCGGCCACCAGTCGGCGTGCCATCTGGTCGCCCTGGGAAGAGCTCTGGGCCACAGGAGGGGAGGAAGGACATGCAGCGTGGCTCACAGCCTACCCCGGGGCCGCTGCTGTTCTTCCTTCTGGAAGTCCAGCCCCACGTTTACAGGTGTGGAGATGGAGGATCAGACGGAGGATCAACGGAGATCAGGCATTTGGGGCTCCGCCGTTTCTCTCTTCGGGGCGCTTCCCACCTTGGGCCAGGCTGCTGAGGAGGCTTCCCAAAGTCACAACTAGTTTTCTGGCAGAGTGCAGAGGCTGGGACCAGACCTCTCAACTCCAGTCCACAGCCTTCCATTTTCACCGGCGTTCTGGTGTCTGATTGGCTGGGACGCAATTTTCCGCCCTAGATTCAGAGATGGGGGCTAGGGTGAAGGCTGGGTTTCTTCTGCACTTTCTCTAAAGTTTCACAGGGAATTCAGATCACAGCCAGCTTTAGGATGGCAGTGCAGTGAGGGGAACTGAGGTGGATTCTATGAAGTGATGATTTTTGAGCCACACCAGGAAGAGGATGTTGGAGGTGGTCGCTGCTCCAGTAGGTGCCTGGGGCGGAGCTATGGGGCAGGTCTGGGTGGGACCAGGGGCCTGACTTCCAGGCAGTTTGGAACCGAAACCTTTCCTCCTTGTTGAGCCTTGAGGGTCCAGTGGGCCCTTGGGTCAGGGCTGCTACTGGGGGCAGACCGGTGCTCCCTAGCCCCAGGGTGAGTACCATGTGACAGCTCTCGGTCACCTGTCAGTGTTCCCTTCTTGGCTGGTTTCATTTGTTACTGTCTGTCTCGCCAAGCTTTCCTGAGGGGCAAGACCTGTGTTTCACTTTGGTTGCTGCAAAGCCCACAGGGGCTCAGTCAGCAGTTTGTGAGGGAGCGAGCTATGGAGGGGCTTATGGGACTGGAACAGCTGGTGTTTGTCTGGCCCCTTCAAGCCAGGGGCTCACAGCCTCCTGGGGCATGCACGCCTCCATCCCTTCACCCTTCCCAGTGGAGGCCAAGCCGCTGTGAGTCTGTTTATACAATTGGTCAGTCAGGGCCCCAAGAAAGGGAGATCCTCACTAGGTTACCCCAGGAGCCAGGGGCAGACCCTGAGCCTGTGCCCTAGTGGTCATCTGTTAGACTCGGCCCCCTGTTCTGCAGAGGGAAAACCAGTGTGATTGTCAAGAAATCATTTTTCTTTGGCCCCTGCAGACAGACCCACCCTCCTCATTTCATCTTAATCTAAATGTAAATTAATTTCCCATTCCCTGAGTACATGAAGGCAGATGTCTGGACACAGAGTTAGGAGCCCTGATTTCCATCCAGGCTCTGCTTTTAGCTGTGGTCCTGGGCAAGTCCCGTCTTCTCTGGTGCTCAGCCTATACCATCGTAAACAAAGAGCCTGTCCCAAGCCCTGTGACATGACAGAACCACCTGGGTGCCTCCACCTCTGTCCCCCGAGGTCTGGTGCAGTAGGTCTCCAGAAAGGTCCTGTCTTGTATAAAGGCAGGAGGTGAGGTCAGCTCAGCCACGTGGTCTTCCGGCCCCTTTACCCAACCCAGCAAACTTGTTCTCATTGATGAGGTGTCAGGCCCCTGTGGAGAAGCAGGCCCCATCCTTTCCCTCAGCTGCGGCCAGTTCTCCGGCCCCACCACGTGCCTCCAGGCAGGTCTTCAGCAGAAGAGAAGACCCAGGGCTTTAGCGACAACAGGAGACAGTTGAGATGAAGAATGCTGCTGTTGGGTATTCCATTTCAAAGCATCAGCTGAGTGGGTGAAAAAAAATTTCTTTCACAGCTGAATCTGATCCTTAACTCCTCTTTTGTAAGCTGTGGGGAGACCTACCTGAGGGCAACTCCAGTCTCAGAAATTGAGGAACAGACTTTGTAAACGGTTTAATAATTTAGTCAGAACTCCGTTTGGGTGGTGACTGGTGGATATTTTCCTCTCTCCATCCCAGGCTCCCCTGAATGAGAATGAGCCCGGGCAGATTTCAACGTCTAGGTTGGTGTCACCTCGAGGCACCCAGCCAGCCCGCGTCCAAGCGGCCGCCTCCCCATCATTGGTGTGTCCTCAGGGGAGGCGGGCTCATTTCAGTATTGTTGTTCAGTCGCTAAGTCGTGTTTGACTGTTTGTGACCCCATGGACTGCAGCACATCAGGCCTCCCTGTCCCTCGCCATTCTGGAGTTTGCCCAAGTTCAAGTCTATTGAATCAGTGATGCCACCCAACCATCTCATCCTCTGCCACCCTCTTCTCCTTTTGCCTCAGTCTTTCCCAACATCAGGGTCTTTTCCAGTGAGTTAGCTAGCTGTTCGTGTCAGGTGGCCTAAGTATTAGAGCTTCAACTTCAGCAGCTTCAGTCCTTCCAATGAGTATTTAGGGTTGATTTCCTTTAGGATTGACTGGTTTGATCGTCTTGCTATCCAAGGGACTCACAAGAGTCTTCTCTAGCACCACAATTTGAAAGCATCAATTCTTTGGCACTCAGCCTTCTTTATGGTCCAACTCTCACATCTGTACATGACTACTGGAATATAAGCTCAAGCAAAGTGTAATCAGGACAGTAAATCTGCTGTTTAACAAAAAAAAAAAAGTCCTCTGACAAATTTCAAGGTCCTGGAAACCCTTCCTTTGAACTTTTGAAGGAAGGATGAGAGCGACCTGGCCTTGGATATAATTTCTCCCAGCTCGGGAACAAAGTCCAGGACATGGTAACCATGTTTACTGAAAATGCAACATAGCTTAAAATTCACAGCGAGAGTCTGCAGTTGCAGGAATGGAGACCTAATTTCATGAAAGTCTTTTCCTTTCCATGCCTTGCCACATGAGCATAACCCCCAGCGTCCACCCTGCACCAGCACCCTCACCTCTTTTCCTGGGCATTTACCATGTGAGTGGTAGTGCGCTAAGGGCTGTAGATGCATTTTCTCAATCTGCAGAGTTTCTGCACAACGGCCTTAGGAGGCAGGTTCTGTCATCCCCATTTTACCCCATTTTATGGATGAGAAAACTGAGGTTCCCAGAGGCAAGTGACTTGCCCTGGATTGCATGGCATGTAAGTGGAAGAGCTGAATTTGAAGGGACCCATGCTTCTAGCCTCTGGGTGTATTGCAACTTCGTCTGAGAGCCACAAGTCACTATGCCAGGTTTAAGGCTGTCTACCCATAAAGCCTGTCATCCTTTCCTCGTTATTCTTGGCACGCTCCATCGTCCGCCAAACCTTGGGCTGAGTGGCCACCCAGCCTGCCTGCCGCTGGGCTCCCCACCTGGGTCACTTCTTTGATGAGGAGGAGGGATTATTTCTCTCAGTCCCGACCAGCTGCCCAGGCTGTCCCAGTGCTAGCGCTGGGGCACACGGGCAGGCCGTTTCCTCCCGTGAGGTGAGCGAGGAAGTGGGGCTGGCGGCGTGCTGGGGGCATCTGGAGAGTGCCTTGGGTTCACCCCAGAGGGACAGATGTCCTTTTCCTGTGGGAAGTTTGCCCTCAGTGGGGTATCACCGCCTCCAGAAAGCTCTCTTTGCCTAACAGCACTTGACCTTGCTCTGCCTGCTCAGCATTTTGATGGCTAAATTTACATAGTGTTAGTTTGCCTTCTCTGTGAATGTTTTTAAAAGAATACTGGAGGCCTCAGCTAAAGAGTTTTCTGTCTCAGGTGGATCTGGAGCCCCTGAGGCTCAGGCCGCCGCACTCCCTGCCTTTGCCTGCCTTTGCCTCACCTTCCCCAGCCTCTTGGCCCCACACTGACCGGGCCTGCTCTGTCCCACAGGAAGTCCTTCCAGCACTCCTGTGGAGGACCCTCACCACTGCGGAGCTTGGCCCCTAGTGACTCCGGGCTCCTGGTTCTCGGTCTCCCCGGCCGCCCTCCTTCCTGGGAAGATGTTCCTGGTGGGCCTGACAGGGGGCATCGCTTCGGGCAAGAGCTCCGTGATCCAGGTGTTCCAGCAGCTGGGTTGTGCGGTGATCGATGTGGACGTCATTGCCCGGCACGGTGAGTTGTGGGCACAGCTGTACCCTGCAGCCCCTCTCGGCTTCCTTCCTTCCATCAGGCCTCACCTTTTTACAGGCCTTTCCCATCAGCCTGGTCTCCTGCTCCCACCCCCTGTGGCCCCCTCTCTTCTCCTCACTTGTCCCTCCCTCTCCCCTCACCCCATGACCAACACGAGGGATTCTGGATGCTCTGGTCCCCTCCCTAACTGCTTTCCCTCCTCTGATTTTTAAAACATTATTTGCTTATTTCTGGCTACACTCGGTCTTCATTGCTGCACAGGCTTTTCTCTAGTTGCAGCGAGAGAAGGTTGCTCTCTGGTTGCGGTGCACAGGCTTCTTATTGCGGCACTCCTCTTGTTGTGAAGCACGGGCTCTAGACACACGGGCTCAGTAGTTTCGGCATGTGGGCTTAGTGGCCCCCTCAGCATACAGGATCTTCCCGAACCAGGGATTGAACCCAGGTTTCCTGCATTGGCAGGTGGATTCTTAACCACTGGACCATCAAGGAAGTCTCCCTGATTTTGTTTTTGCTCCAGCTAAAAGAAGCACCCCTGGGTTGCCCCATCATTTTGCTTGTAGCCCCTGGGAGCCCCCTTGTTGACCTGGAGGCTCCAGAGAATGACCCAGGTTCCTCTTCCTGCCCCAGTTGTCCAGCCGGGATACCCCGCCCACCGGCGCATTGTGGAGGCCTTCGGCACCGAGGTCCTTCTGGAGAACGGTGACATTGATCGCAAGGCCCTGGGCGACTTGATCTTTAACCAGCCCGACCGGCGGCACCTGCTCAACAGCATCACCCACCCTGAGATCTGCAAGGAAATGATGAAAGAGACCTTCAAGTACTTCCTCCGGGGTAAGTCCTGGACCTGGGATCAGGCAGGGCAGAGCCGGTTCCTCCAGGCACGAACCCTTCTGTGCAGAGAGATTGTCCATGGAGGGACGAACCAGTTTTCATGCAGGCTGTCGAATTCACTCGCTCATTGGCATCCCCTGTGCAGCCGGGTACTAGCCTCAGAAAGATGAAGTGATGTCCCTCAACTCTTAAGGGAGTGGACAGTTTAACGAGAAGAGGTGCCTGAGGCTTTTGAGCACTGAACTCCAGGAAGCTGATTTTTCTCATAGGGGTGGGAGTAATAATGATGTTGTTGTGGTTTAGTCACTAAGTCTGTATAACTCTTGTGACCGCACGAACTGTAGCCCGCTAGGCTCCTCTGTCCATGGAATTCTGCAGGCAAGAATACTGGAGTGGGTTGCCATTCCCTTCTCCAGGGGATCTTCCCGACAGAGGGATCAAACCAGCATCTCCTACACTGCACGCAGATTCTTTACTGCTGAGCCACCTGAGAAGCTTCAGGGAATAATAAGAGCTGACGAATAATGGAGTCATAAGACCAGAGTTTAAGTCCCAGCCCTCCTGGTTTCCAGCTGCATGACTGTCAGGGTGAGCCCACCCCTCTGCCTATTTCCTCCTCCGCAAAGTGGACATGTGCAGGGCCAGCCAAGTGATGGGGCAGGTCTGGAGGCGGGGAGCATATTTGTAAAGCAGGGTCTGTGGCAGCCTTTTTCCCAAGCCGTACACCGCAGTCCAGGCACAGTTCTTCAGAGTGGCATGGGGTCGGGGTGGCCTGATCATTACTGTCCAGGATGGGGTCAGCCCCCAGGAGAAGCGGGGAGAGCCCAGAGCGGTGGCTTGGGATCAGGCGACAGGCTGGCCCGGGGCCCTGCAGAGCTGCCTGCCAGCCTCTGGGACATAGAGCCTCCAGCCCAGGCTCTGAGTTGAAGGCCTGCCTACTTGTCTGCCATCAGTCACCAGTCACAAGGCTGAGACTTTGCTTCCTAGAGACTATGAGGAGCCTTCGTGCTTTTTTCCAGACTTTTGCACTGTGATCATGGCCAAATTCTCTCATGCATCAGGTTCTCATGTACAGAGTGGGGACCTCCCCCGTCGGACCCCACCGCCCCAGCCAATACCACCCTGCTGAAGGGAAGGACTGAATTGACAGACAGCCTTGACACTGACACTCCCTTCCCTGCCCCCGAGCCCTGGCCAGGCAGGAGCGGATCTGGGTGTCCTCCCTGCCCGACCAGCCTTTGCTCCCCACCTCCTTGTCGCAGGCCTCCTTCCCCACCGCCTGCCTCACGGAGAGTCTCCGGACTCTTGCTGCCTTTGTCTGCCTCTTGTGTTTATGCCAGGACCCCTCCTGTCCTCCCCCGCCCCATCCCCCAACAGGGAGTGGGGCCTTCTGCCTTTCCTTCCTGCCCTTTTGAGATCTCTCCCAGGCTAGGCATGAGTATGTACGTCTGCAGGGCTTCAGGGAGGCACCAACTCTCCCCTCATGAAATTACGCATCGGATAATGTCACCTGCTCCAAAGTTCTCCTGCTGTGTCATCTACCCAGCCTCCCCTCTCCCCAGCCACCACCACTTAAATAAAAGCCAGAAAGCTCTTTTCAGCTCGATAAGGTGAAAAATGGAGACGACAGCTGTGGCTTCCTCAGTCCCAGTTTTCCCCTGATGAGTATAACAAATACAACTGTCAGAGTTGGTACAATCAAACGTCAGATAAGATCACCAGCTGTTGGGAGGTCTCCGCGTAGGCAGACGGATGTCTTAATAGAGTGAGGATGGTTTGCAGAGCTTATCAAGCAGGAACGATGTGACAGCTGAATAGCCCTTTGCCAGCGAACCAAAGAGCTGCCCGCGAGCTCCCGAGAGGGGCCGAGGAGAAAGGACAGTGACGGGAGAGAAGGGGACGGGAGTGGAGCAGAAAAGGGAGATAAAAGGCCCAGGGAGGATCTGGAGTCGGCTCCTGCTCTGGGCTGGAGAGGAGCGGGGAGCCTGTGCTGCCAGCCTCCTTCCTCCAGGAACACTGGTAATGGAAGTAATAGCAACTACCATCTGTGGAGCCTCAAGCGAGGGTCTGGGTGAGGGGCGCTGAGTGGTTTACAAACTTGTGTTCTCGTCCTTACCGTCTTCCTGTGAGGCGGGTCATCTTTTCACCCACCAACATAGGCAAGGCTTCGTAAGGGGGCCGAGGTGAAACAGCGGGGGCCGCACACCAAGGCACATCCCAGAGCCTGTTCCCTCAAAGCTTGGCTTCGCCTGAAGGCGTCTCTTGGGTTTCCTGAGCCTCGAGCCCTGAGGAACAGGAAACCCAGAGGCTTGGGTCACCGCGTCCCCTGTACCTCCTGGGGTGCAGCTTCCCCATGACCCCCCGAGGTGGTACCACATATGGTTGGAAGTGCTCGCAGTGGGGCATCTTCCAAGCCAGGCAGGCATCCCTGGGCCAGAGCCAGCACCCAGCCCTGTCTCACTGCTCCCGGACCCGTGCCAGCTTGTTGACACTCACACAGCGGTCACTGGTGTCGAGAACTAGGAGCCCAAACTGTTTCTGGGTGAGTGGCTCAGGGACGTGTCTGCTCACAGTGGGTGAGGGCGCCGCCCCCTTGACCGGCCTTGGCTTGTATTGGGTTGTCCAGAAAGTTCATTCAGGTTTTTTCATAGGATGTTGCAGGAAAACCCGAATGAACCTCTTGGCCAACACAACTGTAGGCGGGCTAGACAGCATCTTTTACCCCACGGGAGTTGGTTCTGTAGTATCAGTCATAACCACCCCACCACCTCCGAACCAGTACGTGTGCTCCCTGGCTGGAGCTCTACCTCTGATGCCACGAAGCAGCCTCTTTCCTTTGGGGCAGCTCCCGCTGCCCACGTATGAGTTTTTTGGGGAGAATCTATAGATAGCCTTGCAGGACTCTTCAGCAGGGAGCCAGGCTTGGACCTGGCTCCTGGCAGGGAGAACCTCTTTTTTTTTTTTTTTTAATTTATTTTTGGCTGTGCTGGGTCTTCGTTGTTGCTTGCGCTGGGCTTTCTCTAGTTGTGGCAAGTGGGGGCTACTCTCTAGTTGCGGTGTCCAGGCTTCCCATTGTGGTGGCTTCTCTTGTTGCAAAGCACAGCCTCTAGGGTGCGCGGGCTTCCATGGTTGCAGCACATGGGCTCAGTAGCTGTAGCTCTCAAGCTCCAGAGCATGCGGTCAGTAGTCGTGGCATACTGGCTTAGTTGCCCCTCGGCATGTGGGATCTTCCGGGACCAGGAATCAAACCCATGTCCCCTGCATTGGCAGGCAGGTTCTTTACCACTGAGCCACCAGGGAAGCCCTTTTTCCTCTTTTTTTGAGGAAAGGTGGGTGAAATAGGGCAGAAAGGACCCAGCTACTCCCAGGAACTCTCTCCAGTCTCCTATAATTCAGCTGTGTCATCTCCCTGTTCAGAAATGGCAACTCTTTGGGTTTCAGATCAGGGGAACTCAACCCTTTGTGACTGCTCTGTCAGCTTTGCCTCACTCTGCTCCAGGCCCCCACTTCAGCCAGAGCCGCTCCCATTCCTGGAACCCTCACCTCCGCCCCCCTCATTTTCAAGTCTCGAAGGTCCAACCTGCTTTTCAAGGCCACTACAAATGCCATCCCTTCTATGAGATCTTCCTGGATCATCCACCCCAAAATGACTTTCTGCAACATTTTGTCCTGAGTGGCATTGGAACCAGCTAACATTCAGGTTATTGGAGAAGGAAATGGCAAGCCACTCCAGTATTCTTATCTGGAGAATCCCAGGGACAGGGGAGCCTGGTGGCCTGCCATCTATGGGGTCGCACAGAGTCGGACACGACTGAAGCGACTTAGCAGCGGCATTCAAGTTATGCCTTTCCTTAGAAGGTCTCCCCGCTCTGCCCGGGAGCTCCTGATGGTGGGGGACATTGTTTTTGGCTCATTCCCACGCTGAGCACATAGTCCTGTGTGTGCTTACAGAATTGAATTTGTGCATTTCCTGGCCTCTCCCCAGGATACCGCTACGTGATTCTGGACATCCCCCTGCTTTTTGAGACCAAGAAACTGCTCAAGTACATGAAGCACACGGTGGTGGTATACTGGTGAGTGTGTGGCACAGCCTGGCCTGACTGAGGCTGGAAAGGAGCACCCCTGGGTAAGGCGCATACCTGTGAGATGGCCCATCACATTTTACCCTTTCCCCACGTGGTGACCAGGAGGCCCAGGGGGTTTGGGTAGCAGTGCCCAGAGCCTGTAGAAACTGACCTCTGTAGAGCCAGGCCCAGACCTGCCTGGGGGTGGATGTGGGAAGTGATGGCCCCCAGGTGTCTCTCTAGTGCTTGGGAAGGGCTCCCCCTGCTGGCTCTTGGAGGCATTTCAGCCCAGATGCTGGGCCCTGCCCTGGGGGACAATGTTCTTATTCAGAGGTTTCCTTTTCCCTCCTGTAACGCTTCTCAACTTTCCAAACAGCTCCCACATCAATTTACCTCTCAACATAATGTAGTCAGGAAAGGAGTTGATATCTCTGGGGTACAGGAAACTCAAGGCAGGAGTTACAGAATTTGTCTAGGGTCACCCACTGGCAATATGTATGAACTGAAAGTTGTAGAGAGGGAGCTGTCGGAACTCAGCCAAAGAAGGTGCTTTGTTCTCAGAATCCCTCGGGACATGGAGCAGACTGGTATCCAGGTTTGGCAAACAAGAGGATCAAACTGTCAGAGAGAATGAGTCATAGTCTCACTGGGGTGTGGGTGTAGATGAGGCTTCAGGGTGTCTCTGCCTTCCAGAAACTTCCGGGATGCCACCCACAGATACAGCAGACACAGAGGTGGGCCCTTGGCTCTGCAGGTATTTTGGGCACAGGGTGGCTCTCGAGACTAATGCAGGGGAGGCTTCTGGAACACCGGAGGCAGGGCCTGGAGTACTCAGCACCCCTAGCACCACCCTGCCCTCCCAGCTCCCAGCCCTGGGCTGTCACTTAAAGGCAGCCTGAATCTACTGAGCCTGGAGCAGGGACTCGGGCATCCTCTTCTCTCCCCCGCTGGCCTGTGTCTACCCATGTAAACCTGTAGCCTCTCTGGGTTCTTTGTTCCCTGTTTGGGAAAGACTGTCAACTGAGGCCAAGCAGACTCCATGAAGACAGAGTTCTCTTTGCTTTGGAGTTTTAATATAATTCCAAACTTGGTACCAAAGGATCGGGGAAAAAAAAACCACCTCAGAGTATAATGTTTAAGTGAAAGTGTTAGTCGCTCAGTCGTGTCTGACTCTTTGTGACTCCATGGACTGCAGCCTGCCAGGCTCCTCTCTCCGTTTTACAGGCAAGAATACTGGAGTGGGTTGCCATTCCCTCCTCCAGGGTATCTTCCTGACTCAGGGATTGAACCCAGGTCTCCTGCTTTGCAGGCAGATTCTTTGTCCTGAGTAAACAAATTAAGACCCGGTTGCATCTGCAGTCACCAGGTGACTCAGGCCTACGTTTCCCACCTTCCTCCTCCTGTGCTTTCCTCTTGCCAAGAACAGAGACAGCTGTGGCTCCTGGCAGATAGATGGGGCTTTGTGGATTTGCCAGCTTCCCAGGAGATCCTCCAACCCACTCACTGGCCAGAGCCTTCCCAGGGTCCTGGGTACCATACATCCCCCACTGTTATCACATGTGGTTGTATGATTCTTGAGAGATACCCAGGAGATAAATGAAGGATTATTTGTCTTTCATAAAAGGAATCTACACTCAACAAAAATAAGTCCATCCCCACATGGACTCCTTTAACTGGCAAACTACGCCTTGGGCATTTGAGCTAATATGGGGGATTTACCAAAGTGTGATTATACCAAAAAGTGATTATTCACTTTTTTGAGGAGCTTGCCAATTGTGGGATCAATGTTTGGGCAAAAGTTCCCTTACCCCAAACAACATCAGTCCTTAAACTAATCACATGGGACTCTCGCTGAGCTTCCAGGAAGAGCCGTTGGCGAGTTCCGCATTCACATCCCGGGAGGCCCACTGGTCTCAGCCTCACCCTCTGAAGGATGAGTGCTCACTGGTGGCCCCAAGCCATCTCCATTCTCTCAGCCAGACTTTCCCAGCCACAGATCTGCAGAGTCCCTGACAAGGATTGCATATAGTCCTTGTTCTCAGCCAAGTGGGAATTGGCCCCATGACCTTGAGAGCATGCTATCCTCCTAACAAAGGAAGTCAGAAGTCCTACCAACTTTTCAAGGCCAGTACAAACGCCATCTTTATATAAGGTCTTCCCTGATTGGTCAGCCAGAAATGACTTTCTGCCACATTTGGTCCTCAGTGGTTTTGGAACTGGCTAGTGTTCAGGTTATATCTGTCCTTTCTGTCTTCACATCCCAGGAGGTCCTCAGGTCTAGGCCACAAGTAGACTAAAGGGACTAAACTGTAGTCATCAGATCTTCCCATCTTATAACTGGAAAAACTGGCCTAGTGGCAAAGCAGAGAGACCCCCAGATGGCAGAAAACAGCTGCTGCAGCCTTTTCCCGCCTTCATCTAGGGTCTTAGGCAGTCAGAGACCTAGGGGGCTGCTAGAGATGCTCCTGCTCCAGAGGACAGCCGGACGGTGCCTGTGTAGCCAAAGCAGGACAGGGAGCTGAGGAAGGCCCAGGCGGTAACATCAGAGCAGGCAAGAGAGGCATTCTTTCTAGTTCCTCTGGAGCTGGGAGACTGGGTGCTGCTCGGCCTCCTGTGCAGTGCTCAGTCCTGTCCCAAGGGCCAAGGGGATCTGGTTCTCAAGTCCTTGCTCCTGTTGGAAGCACGTTGGGGCATCTCGCTTCCTCCGTGGCATCCAGCCCAGCGGCCACCGTCTCAGCACAGCCCTTGTACTCTGAATGTGCCGGGGTGGGTGTGGGGAGACCAGGAGAGGGCTCTTTGTGGAAGCCCAGGAAGCTGATTTTTATGCCGCAGGCCCTGGTCCCCAGGGGAACTGCAGGAAGCATTTAGCTTGCAGACCCAGGCCTTTCAGTAAAGGTCATCCATTCAGGGATGCAGGATGTCTCTGATTCCAGGTGACCAAATTCTCCCATCTTAAAAACCAAGGAATCTCGGGCCTGGTAGCCAAGCAGAGAGACCCCAGATGGCAGAAAACAGCTGCTGCCCCACTTTCCTCTCCCCATTTATACTAAGGGGCTTAGGTAGCCCACAGCGGTGCTAGGGTGCTCACGAAGTGGGGTAAGGTGGAGGGAGCCCGAGCTTCCAGGGCTGCCCACCCCTATAATGAGGGGCGAGGGAGGCCGGAGCCTGCAGCGCCTGAGCAGCCCTCTGCCTGGTCCTTAGTGACCGCGACACGCAGCTGGCCCGGCTGAGGCGGCGGAACAGCCTGAGCCGCGAGGACGCGGAGGCCCGGATCAGGGCCCAGCTGCCCCTGAAAGACAAGGTCCGCATGGCCCGCCACGTTCTAGACAACTCGGGCGAGTGGAGCGTCACCCAGCGCCAGGTGGTCCTGCTGCACACGGAGCTGGAGCACTCCCTGGAGTATCTGCCACTGCGGCTCGGGGTCCTCACGGGGCTGGCCGGCATCGTCGGTCTGCTCTACCTGCTGACCCACTACCTCCTGCCTGCCCCCTAGCTGGACCCTCCAAGGCAGGAACTGCTGGGTCTCCGTCTTCTCAGAGGCTGGAACCAGGTAACAAATGGCATCGGGTTTCCGCCCAACCCCTCAACACACGTACTCTGGATCTGGGCTGGAGCTCTGCCCTGGGCCTACCTTTCCTCTGGGCATATACTGCATTCTGTCCGAGGCAGGGAAACAGCCCTCTGTCAGCAGATGATCCTCTCCACCTCCCCCAGAGCCCCTCCCTCTGGAACCCCCCACAGAACAGTGTCCATGAGAGGGTGTGGCAGTAACAGTGAGAGACTGTTGTTAATTTCTTGTGGGTGGGGGTGAGGAGCACTCTCAGGGGCTGTCACCAGTGTTTAAAGCTGGGAGGGTCCCTGGGCCTGAACCATCTCCAAGCATGTGCCCCATCATGGCCAAAGTGTCCTTTTAGTGGACATCGGGGAATCAGTTTGGACCAAAGGCTGCCACCTTCATGCAGGATTCCCCCATAGACTGAAGCCCTCAGCCAGGATACAGGAAGGATTCCCTTGTGGGTGATGCTATATCCGGGCAGAGGCCAGGCCTCTTCTGAGATGATCCACCGTCCCCCCGTGGCATTTGCCCAGCACTCCCTGCAGCCAGCTCCCTGCCCCCTACCACTCTACCTCCCTGAGCTCTTCGTGGTCCCCGTGCACCTGGATGTTTCTTGCCTCTGTGCCTTTGCCTTGTTGCTCCCCAATCTCAAATAACCCTTCTCCCCCCCCCCGCCACCCCCACCCCACAACTGGTTACCTTCTAACTCAGGCACCACCTGAAGCTCCAGGTGGGGTTAGGTGCTCTGGGTTACCACCCTGCCACCACCATCATGTTTTACCTGAATCCACAGTATAATCAACCAAAAGCTGGTTGTCTCTCCTCCTAGACTGTAAGCCCCTTGCAGGCAGAAACTGTGTCTTATTCATTTCTGTTCCTGGTGCAGAGCCTGAGTTGCCGCTGGTGCTGAATAAAGTGTGTTGATCTGAAATGCCCCATGCTGCCAGTGTACCCCCAGCATCACCGAGCAACTGAGGTTCCCAGACTCCGCTCAGACCATTTGGGCTTAAGCGTGGCCTCCTCCCACACCAAGACCTGGGCCCTTCACTCCCCCAGCCCCAGAAGGTACAGTTGCCCTCTTGACTTCATCCAGGAGGACTCAGCCAGGTCCAGACGTACCTGTGAGAGGAGTGGAGGTGCTGGGGCAGCCTCCCATCCACGTACTCCATCTTCCTTCCCCAGCCCAATTAGACCAGTGTGGACATCAGCTTCCTCTTACCCGAGCCGGCAGACCTGCTGATGTGTTGCTCCTGCGGCCAGCAGCCTATTAAAGCCAGAAATGAGTGTGACAAATGCGACTGCTGTGGTGGCCACATTCAGTGCCCCCTTTCCCCGAGCTGCTCACACTTTAGAGACCAGCTCATTAACTCACTGCAAACCCAGAAGGGGCTGAGGCTCGTCAAGGAAGCTGCAGAGTGGGTCCAGGGCTGGATGAGAAAGGCAGAGGGTGGCTGCTTCTGCGCTTTGAGACCAGGCAAGAGGGGGGAAAGAAGGGAAGGTATGGACCCCTCCCAGCACCATTACCCCAGTCATGGAGAAGATGGCTCCTCGTGAAGACCTGTGGCATGCTGACACCACTGCATTGTAACACCCGGAGGTAACATAGTGATTATTCTGATTCTCGGCCCAGTGGGATGAGCTGGTTTGGGTCAGAGCCAAGGTTCAGAACTCTGCCTGCTGTGTCTCAGGGCCTGCCGGGAGGGAGCAGACCCTGGGATCCCTGTGGCCCATTATGCTCTGTCTCCTATCCGTGTGACCTCCTGTCTTCATGATGTTTATGTCAAGGAATCTAATATATGGAGGACCACAGAAACCCTTTGCAAACCGTAAAGCTCGAGTTATTTTCTTCTCTGCCCCAGTATACCGAATTGGATGCAAGAATGTCAGAGGATGGCCAGTCGGGAAGGTGTGGAGAAAACGCCATCCCGGCCTCCTCTTCCCAGGCTTGGTGGCCCAAGGCGGCCTTACAGGAGTCCTGCTTCCTCTGGGGCATCACTGCGTGTCTAGGTCGCTCCCGAGCCCCTTGGATAAAGCAAGAGCATGTCCCCCGCCCTCACAAGCCCTGGTCCCCGCGACCCGGCGGCACCCTCCGTTCCGGCCGGCAGGTGGCAGCACCCGCCCGGATTGGGGTCGGGCTTTGGCGGCCAGCGCTAGCCAAGCGATCACTAACTTTCTCCCGGTGGCGTTCCCTTCTCTCCTCCTGGGCCGTGGCCGGCGTCAGATTCCCCGGCAGCGGCGGAGGCGCGGGCGCGCGGCCGGGCCCGGGGCGCTAATGAAGCCGTGCGGCTCGCCGCGTCCTCTTTGCTGGAGCTGCGGGACCCGGGCGCCGCGGGGCGGAGGGACGTGTCCCCATTCCACCCCCGTGCCAGGGTGACCGGCCTCCCACCCTCCAGTCGTGCGCTCGGGCCCTGCTGCTCTCCGTTAACCCACTTGCGGCCTCACCACCCCGGCGCGGAGCAAGAAAGACGCCGGCGAGGGCTGCAGGCATATCGGTCTCAAGGCGCGGGATGAAGGGGACAGGCAGGCCCCTAAAACCATTCCCAGGCCCAAGCCGGCCCTAGGGTGCTTAGCAGAGCCTTACTGTCCAAAGCACCTCCCGCAGCTCTCTCCTGAAATCTCCCAACTCTGAGAAAGAGTGCAGGAGGCAGAGCTAGAATTTGAGGCTCAGAGGTTGAGCCCTGGAGGCCCACGTAACCAACAGGCATAATCCCACGCTCTGGACCCCTAGTTCAATGCCCTTCCCACTACCTGCAGTGTCTCGGTTAATGACGCCTCGGGTCTTTAGATACGAGTTGTCAACTCTTCTTCAGATGTTCAGTCTCTCTGTCCTTGGAGAGGGGCAGGGGAAGGTTTAGGATCCTCCATTAAGGAGCCACCAGGGCTAGAAATTGGATGGGAGGGGGACAGCCAGGGCGGCTGTGACAAAGGCACTCCAGATGAAGAGGAACCTGTCCTAGAGGCTTCTGGGTGTCCTAGAGGGAGCTGGGTGGCAGTGATGACCCGAGGCCACATGGGGTGGACAGGAGAGACCCCAGAGATGACGGAGGAGAACGCAGGAGGTGCTGAAGCACTGTGGGCTGGCCCTCCGACTCCTTCCTGGAAAGGGGAGACGGCTGGTAGCTCCTCCATCCCACCGGCAGAACTGAGGCTGCACCCAGCTGGGGCCCAAAGAGCCTCCTCCCTTTGCTCCCCACCATCGCCTCCCCATCACTCGGATTCCAATACAATTTCCAACTAACCAGCATGTCGATAGAACAAGTTGGGCAGCCGGATTGCTGGCCAATTACAGGAAATCATTCTGCTCCACAGCTCAGCGCCCAGGGAGAGGGAGGAAGGGAGGGGATGTGAGGGAGCAGGCACCCAGCTTGCAGGCTGGGAAGGGGCTCTGGATTCGGGTGGGGCATGCAGTCCCCCGGGAGGGACTGGGGTAGCAGAGCTGGGGTGGATAGGGAAGCTTCTGGGGCTGGGGGGTGTGGGCCAGCAGGGGTTCTTCCTCATCAGAGCTCTCATGCCCCAAGCCACAAAGATGAGTGCCAGGAGGAAAAGTGTCTGATTGGAGTAGAAGGGGGCAGAAGGGCAGATAGTGAGATCAGTCTCCTTCAGAGTCCGGTGTTTGGGAATGAGGTTGGTACCCAGGCCTCCCTGGCCCAGAACTCTGAAGGATCATCCCAATACCCGGAAGTGGGGCTCACAAGGGCAGGACCTGTGCTTCACATCCAGCCATGGACCAAAGGGTCCATGGGGACCAAGGGGTCCAGATCCCCCCAAGGGGATCCTGGGGGGACAAGGAGAAGGAGTTTAAAGAAGAGGCAGGGAGGAAAGGTGCTGCAGGTTGCAGCTGAGTGGTCCAGCAACAGTCTCACTTGGTGAAGGGATAAGTCTAGAAGCATCCTTCAAGATTCCAGAAGGTGGGACACAGAAACATGGGAGGGGACAAAGTCTTCCCCACTTACCTTCCCAGCACCTCTGCCTGGCCTTCAAGAAACTTTTACTCCTCTCAAAGGGCCCTCCTCCCCTCCTCTCTCCATCCATCTGAATCTATCCCTACCTCCCTTGATGAGCCAGTTGCCTGTTTGTCCCTGTCCCCCCAGCTCCCACCTGCATCCCTCACATCTTTCCCAGAACTGCCTTAACTACCCACTGGCCTTGCCACCCAGCAGACCCTGAGGTCCCCCTGATTCCCAGCACCAATGATTAGCTCCCTTGAGTGGTGCTGGGGCTCTATGCCAAAGTAGTGAAAAATCCTTGACTTACAGGAATTTCTCCAGGGACTAACTCCACCCAGCGACTGACTACTGTTGCTCTGTTTGTCTTGAACCCCAAAATGAGTTAGGGGTGACCCAGTGATCCCTTCCCCTGCTCCGCTGTAGCCACCTCCCGGAAGCCCCCTTCCCCTCAGCATCTTTCTGCTCCTTCTCTGCATTCTAAACTCTCTCCTTCAAACCCCCATCAAAGGTGGAGCCTGGGTTAGATTCACCGCCTCCCGTTCCACCCCCCACCCCCGCACCCCACCTTGGTCATCCCAGGTACACAGCCAGGGTACACAGCCAGGCAGACACCCCGGAGAGAAGATAGATCTCTGCGCCCTGTGCACCAGGCACGCAGCTGTGCTCAGGAAAAACGCTGAATGAATGCAGTTGACTGACAAGGCCGGCATCAAAGTGGTGGGTGCATTGAGAGGGAGGGTCAGGGGCCTGGGGCCACTCCTACCCCAGGATCCCTGCCCGAGTCCACAGGCTTGGACGTCCGGAATGGGGGTGTCAGGACTGGCCCGATTGTACAAAGCAGGCGCCCTCGGCTCTGCGAGATTGAGATCAAGCCGTGGCTCGGACCTGGAAGAGTCGCCCTTCGCGGGCCCTCCCTCGGGCGCTACCTTTCGCGGGCCCACGGCCCAGTACTCGGCGATCCGGAAGAGGGCGGCCCTCCCGCCCTCCTTCCCGCCCTCGTCCTCGATGCCCCCGGCAGGGCGCGCAGCGCTCCGCGGCCCACAGGCTCCGCGCCATCGACCGGGCCTCGGGGACCCGGGCGCACCGCCCCTCCACCCCTCGCTCTTCGCTTTTAATTGAAGTTTGTTTGAGCAGAGTGCAGAGCGGGCAGAGGCAGAAACCAAATATTTAGTTGCTGCAAATTGGTACCTCCAGATCAATTACCCGGCCCGTGTCAGGGCCTGTGCCGCCCCCAGCGCCCCGCGGAATCTCAATGCCGGGCTGCCCCCCCTGCCCCCCGCGCCGCCCGCCGCCATCCGGCTGCACGTTTCTCATCAGCTCCAGCCATACATCACCCGTGGCCGCGAGGGGAACAGATTTTCAATGGGGAAAGTTCCCCGGGAGGGTCCTCGTTGCTGATTCCCGCCGCGCCCTGTGCTGTCTGCCCTCCACCCCTCCTGCCCTAAGCCGGCCTGTCAGATTAGATGGGAACAGCCTGGGAGGGAAGAGTGAGATAAAGAGGGAGGTCCAAGGCAAGGACTTTGGGTCACGTGGATTGACCCAACCTTAGTAAGTCCTCTTATCTTCTGAGTGACTCAGGAGGATGCCTTATGCTCCTTGAACCTCAGTTTCACTACCTGTAATATGGGGCTCAACCTTCACCTCGTGGAGTTGTTGTGAGGGGGCCAACACTGCAGAGGGACCTTGCCCGGCTCGGGGTTGGCACATCGTGGCTCTACTTCTTAGCTCTGTTAGGGGGTGAACATTCTTCTAGAATGAAATGAGGGACCTTGGGTTTGTAAGCACTTCAACCAAACTACTGGTGAATACCCAGGGAGAGCGGGGGGCGGCCAGCCCCCTGGAGTCCCTGGCAGAAGCTGGGCAGGCCAGGACATGTGGGGGCAGGCTCCATCAGGGAAGGCTTTAACCAACAGCCCGGGTGCATAGGGCACAATCAGAAGAGAAAGTGCTTCTCCAGTACCAAGGACTGAGAGTTAGCTGGGCCTGAAGGTGAGCCGTGACCTCAGAGGTGGGCCAGGGAAGTGAAACCGGAGGGAAGCGGGCAGGGCACAACTTTTGAAAAACTGACATAGCCCAAGGACACAGCATAAACTGATTAGAATCAAATGGGTCCAAGATGGCAGACAAGCCAACTTCTACTAGCTCTTGATCCTCAATCAGCAAGCTAAATGACACACCCAGAGGCACCATGACAGTTCCAAGGCACCATCAAAAGGCCAAAAATCGGGCAGTGGCCCAGTTCCTGGAAATCTCCACCCCTTCCCCAAATTGTTGAAGTAATCCTCCCACTCATTAACCTATGAAGTAATCCAGCCCATAAAAGCTGACCACACCATGTCACAGGGCTGCACTTGCCCTCTGCAATGGCCCACGCTGTGGAGTGTGCGTCTCTGTGAGTCAATCCACTTCTTACCTATCCCTTTGTCTCTCACTGGATTCTTCCTGCAATGAGACATCAAGAACCTGCGCTTCATTACTGTGGGCTTTGGCTGGGGGTTCGAGTCCTAGACCTGTGGGTTAGAGTCCCAATCTGAGGTAAATGGTTTCAGAAGGAGGCTGGAGGAATCTGAAGGAAGGGCACCAAAAACTGTACCAGGAGGCCGTGCCCATGGTGGGGGCATGGGGGCGAGCCCTACAGGGGAATTGGAAAACTGGGCTGCAGTTGAAGCTTGCCTTTTTCTTGCTGTGTGACCCTGTGCCAGTTATTTAACCTCAGCTTTCCCATGTGTAAAATGGGGTTGACACCCTCTCCCTCCCAGAGCCTTTGTGAAGAATAAAGGAGATGATATCTGGGAGAGACAAGGAAACTCCCAGATGGACTTGGAGGGAATGGTGCTGAGTCTGTGCGAGTTCCCATGCTCAGCCTCACTTCCATTCCAAGAACTTCCTTAAGGGAATTGGAGTTAAATGATTTGGCATTTTTAAATGGCTGCTCAGTCAAACAAAGTGACAGGCACTCTGAGTGGAATGGGAGTGGGGGGGGCCGTGAGTCCCAGGTTTCTTGCTCTGAGAGCCCTTCCTTCACCCATCTCACCTTAAAGAAAGAATCTCCGGGCTGTCTTTCCCTCCTTCCCACCTCCACTTCCCCTCAGCTAGAGACCTATGTCTCCACCGCAGGACTGGAGTCACCCATGCCTAGAGGAAAATTTTCTCCTATCAAGTCCTGATGGAAGTCAAGGCTAAAGCCCCCATGGTAAGTAAACTCACTCCTCACCTTCTCAATTTTCCCAACTGTGAAATGGGACCACAGATGGTGAGCCATTAATTACAAGGTGGCTTTTGGACTGGTAGGCGACTTCTAAAAGCTTCTGAATCCATTGCCCCACCGTCCACACACCTCCTACCCGCTCCTTTCCCACACCTGCAACAAGATTATCTCCGCTGGCAAGAACCCCACCAACCTCCTTGGGGATGGCCGCCACCATTTGTCAAGTCAGGAAGTCCATCTGATGGTCTACCTTAAATGTCTCACTGCTTCCTTCAGGGAAAAGTTAAAGAACGAACAACAAAAGATAAATGCTCATGGAGAGGTGATGCCACACTATTTTTTAAAAAATACCTCCAAAGAGGGTGTGGGGTGGGAATTACCTTCGGACACAATGCTCTTTACACTAAACATCTTGGCGATAAATATAGCTGTGTAATTCTTTTTTCTCCTTGGCAGAGAGAAAGGCTGAGGCTGGGCAGCAAGGCAGAGGGACCCGAAAATATAAATCAATATGTGACTTTAATATATGTGCTCTCGGTGCCTGTGTGTGCTGGGGGATTATTAGTAACCTTGATTCCAGCTCCGTGTCCATGTGAGGCGGGGAGACGCGTGGCCCCCAGGGAGGAGAAGAGAAATTAGGAAGCCAAATTCTTCTCCTGATTGACACCTGGGTAAACATTATCCCCGGCAGAAGGAGAAGAAAAAAAGATCAATGCTGGGTATTTTTATCACGTTCCAGGACGGACAGGGAGGGAAATTAAAGAAACAGTCCCCTAGCCTCATTGACTATGCTCATCTCCAAGGAGGAGGCGAAAGGGGTGGAAGCCAGGTGGGGAGGGTGAGGGGAACATCAGTGGGTGCATCCCAGGGGGTGTGGCCATTGCTTCTCTCACCCTGGGGCACTTATGTGAGTGGCAGCAGGTACAAAGGAGTCAGCCCGTTAATGACAGGGCAAAGGCACCAGCTTTGATGGGGGAATCATAGGCCATGGAGTCTAACATGAGATCAGACTCTGGCTTCAACGGAGGGCTAAGAGGCATTAGTCTTAATGGGGTTGTCAGGGGGATATTTCTAGCAGGAGCTTTCCAGAGCATGGAAGGGGAGAGTGGCTTCGGAGGGGGATGGGAGGAGCGAGTGGCCCAGGAGTGGTCAGCGCCAACATGGAGAGAAAGAGGCATCTTTCTGGTTGTTGTTCAGTTGCTCAGTCCTGTCCGATTCTTTGCGACCCCGTGGACTACAGCATGCTAGGCTTCCCTGCCCTTCATCATCTCCCGGGATTTGCTCAAACTCATATCCATTGAGTCGGTGATGCCATCCAACCATCCCAACCTTTGTCATCCCCTTCTCCTCCTGCCTTCAGTCTTTCCCAGCATCAGGGTCTTTTCCAATGAGTCCAATCTGGATTGTCTTGGAAAGCGGGTCTCTGTTCTACAGACAGGAAAACCTGGCCTCCACCCCTTTGTATCTGGCCTCCACCTCCTCCTGGCTATATGACCTTGACTAAGTCATTCGACCTCACAGAGACCCACCTGTCTTATCAGTAAAATGAGGCAGGTAGGCTCTGCTCTTCTCATTTCACAGAATTTTTAATGTGATTATACACAACCCTGAAGTGGTAAGGAGTTATTACTACCTAGAGCAACTCTGTGCAATAGAAATATAAGGCATGTACATGGTTGGGAAGATTCTAGTAGCCAAATTAAAAGAGTACAAAGATGGACATCCCTGGTGGTCCCATGGTTAAGAATCTGCCTTGCAATGCAGGGGACATGGGTTTGATCCCTGGTCAGGGAACTAAGATTCCACTTGCCATGGAGCAACTAAAGGATTCCTCATAACACAAGACCTGATGCAGCCAAATAAATATTTTTTAAAGTAAAAAGAAATGAGTGAAATTAATTTAAACCATATTTTAAAAAATCAACCCAGTCTATCTAAACCATTGTTGTTTCAACAAGTGATGCTAGTTACATTCCAAGTGCTCAATGGCCACAGGTGAGGGGTGGCCACATACTGTTGTTCAGTCGCTAAATCTTGTCCAACTCTTTGTGACCCCCTATGGCCTTCTTGGGATTCTCTGGTGGCTCAGAGAGTAAAGAGTCTGCCTGCAATGCAGGAAACCTGAGTTTGATCCCTGGGTTGGGAAGATCCCCTGGAGAAGAAAATGTCAACCCCCCAAAAAAAAGAAAAGAAAAGAAAGAAAATGGCAACCCACTCCATTATTCTTGCCTGGAAAATCCCATGGATGGAGGGTCCTGGTGGGCTACAGTCCATAGGGTTGAAAAGAGTCAGACGCGAATGAGTGACTGCTTTCTGGACTTCTTAGGTGGCGCTAGTGGTAAAGAACTTGCCTGCCAATTCAGGTAGACATAAGAGACACAGGTTCAATCCCTGGGTTGGGAAGATCCCCTGGAGGAGGGCACAGCAACTGACTCCAGTATTTTTGCCTGGGGAATCCCATGGACAGAAGAGCCTGATGGGCTACAGTCCATAGTGTTGCAAAGAGACACAATAGAAGTGACTTAGCACGCACGCACAGATTGCAGCGTGCCAGGCTTCCCTGTCCTTCACTGGCCACATATTGGACCAGCATAGATTTAGAACAAAAAACCCACAGGCAAGGGGCTTCTGTCTCCTTAACGGTGGGGAGAGAGGCCCTGTGAAGTGCAAGGTAGAGTACCCCTTTTTGGAAAGGCAATTTTGTGGCTGCAAATGGGCCCCCACAGGAGGCTCCCTGGGGGAGGCAGAGTGGCAGCAGTGGTCCTCCCCTCAGTAAGCCCACCGCAGGTCCCCAGACCTGGATAGGACGGGGCTGGGCTGGATGCTGAACTCCCTGTCTGGCCACCCCCCCACCCCGACCCCAGCCCTTGGAGCAGCCTGGGGTGAAGGGAAGAACCTGCCAGCTGGACTT